AAAAAGGCGTAAAAAGCGCAAAGAATTTAATGAAATTTTTGCTTCAAAATCTTTATCTTATTTTGTTTCTTATTTCTTTTGTATTTCTGTTTCTATTTCTTTTGTAACGAATTTATTATAAAAAATTCTTATAAAGAGAATACAAAAAAATGTTAGGAGAAACACAAAAAAAGATATCCTTAAACTTTTAGTAAATACTGGTAAATATTTCTTTTTACCAATATTTAGCAAAAGTTTCAGGATATCTTTTTTGTGTTAGGAGAAACACAACTTCTCTTCTAACATTTTTTTGTATTCTCTTTATAAGAATTTTTATAATAAATTTGTTACAAAAGAAATAAGTTACAAAAGAAACAGAAAATACAAAAGAAATAAGAAACAAAATAAGATAAAGATCATTGGAATTTATAATGTAAATATAAATCATTCTTTAGAGAGAGATATAAGTAATTCAAGTTGCAGTTGTTTAATATAAATTTAATATAAATTTTACAATCAATTAAATATCATAAATATGAATTAAATAAATTAAATAAATTATTTTTATTAAAATATTGTTTAATTGTACTTAAAATAGATACTCTACAATGACCAAAAGCTAATAAACGAAATTGTCAAGGATACAAGAAACGTAAGCAGATTAGCTCTATCTTGAGCCGCGGGATGAATGAGTTACGTATGATTATATAGCGATTGCATTATCTTCTATTTCTACTGCCAGCAGTTATCATAAGCGTGCGTAGTACGGCGAGCGGAGTACACACCGCGATTGCGAGCTTTCTATCGCCTTTTAAGAGTCGCATAGTAGCCTAATCTGCAACAGTAGCTACAGTCGTCGGTGCAGTTTTAGCGGCAGACACTGTGACGACATTTACTCCGATGTTGGCCTAGCGAAGTAAACAGTTTTGAATGCTTCTTTCTTCATTCTGCATAAATAAAATTAAGAAATTAAAAAAAAAAAAAGAAACAAAAGAAATCATCTTTTAAATAAAATTAAATAATCTTATCACAAGTGATATTATATAAAATGCTTTACACGTCGCATAACATTAGTATATTTTTGATTAACTATTTTAATTAACTATTATCATTTAATATGTAAACGTCGCTGCGATGAAACATATGTTTCTATCATTTCTCATACGTGCTATTTTAGAATAAGCGCGATTCTATCATTGTGAATCATGTGACATGTTTTACACACGTATATGTCGATTGCAGATTATAAATTACGTATAATATGCCGAGAATATTTCGTCTTCGACGATATATTCCCGGTAGGAACACCTGGCCTTTTTCTTATCCGCAGAAATAGACAGAGCGCATCCATATCTTACAGCTCGTCATCCCTATTCAACGATCACCTCACTCTAACTCATCTCACCAATATCCATAATGCACTCTCTGTTCTTTTAATAAATATAATTGTTTTATTTTTTATTTTCGAAAATTTTAACATGGATAAATAAGAAATTAAGCAAATTATGAGATATAAAAATATATAATAAAGTCTTTTTATTTCTATTTCTCTCAAATTATGATTTCGATCGCTTTTTCTTTTCAATTTTAAGAAGAAAAGTGTGTGGTGTGCGTGCGTGCGTGTGTGTGTGTGTGTGTGTGTGTGTGTGTGTGTGTGTGTGTGTGTGTG